AGGTTTCGACCTGGGTGTTATGGTCCCAGTCTGCTGCAACAGACCGAAAGAGGGAGCTTTAAGGTACTTCTGGCAGCTTTAATATGATCAACCGAGGCTGAGTGTCAAGATTAAGGTCGCGTCAGCTACATATATCGGCTTTCAGAAGCAGAATACCTTCCTTAATTATGTCATTATATGTTTCACAAATGTCGAATTTAGGATTGACTTTTGATTCAATTTTTTTTGCCAGATATTAATACAATCTGATTTACTCGGATTTCTAATCTCGGCCTGTAAACTTTCAAGAGCGTTTATGCCAGATTGCTTCTCAATTAGAGTCATATTCACCGAGCTATCACATATTTTGTCGTATAGTCTAGTGACGCGGGAACGTAAGTGACCTCTAGATTGAATCAGATACTCTGAATCAACCATGTCTAAAACAATATAATGCAGCAGGCAAGCGAGACAAAATTATCATTTGATTAGCAGCAGATAACTAATATATTGAACATAAATATTTTAGATAAAATTAGGAATCAAATTACGCAAATGATCAGCAATAAATTAGTAGATTGCACGTAACACCAACCGCACCCCGGACGCGAGCTAACTCCATCCCGAAATGAAACATCAGACCGAACCCAATGGAATAATTTTATTTAATTAGCCGTGCGTACCGTGATCTTGAAATGCAAGGGGAATGCATAAACTCAAGTCGTTTTAGTAGCGCAAACCCCGCCAAACTTCCTTTCAAGGAAGGAATGACGTCGCGTAAGGTGAATGACGTCGGGTTCGATAAGACGTAGCATGCATCATCTTCAAAGCGAAACCATAGCAGCCAGTTAGATCAACTAAAATCAGTTCATCAGTTTCAGAATATTAGATCAATTCAGATGCATATAAATTAACAATATATTCTTCAATAATCCTTTACTCAATTAATATATCCATTAAATCAAATCGTTTGTGTATGGACAATTAACTCGGCCCTTCATCTCTAAATAAATTAGGCCAAGAAGCGGCTTTGAACTCCTCTGACCTAAAATACCGTCCAAGACAATAAATTACGCATTTTTAATTGTCCGACTCACGGCGTAAAGGTGCCTGTCTGTACACGGGGACAGTACTGGCGGCAAGTAGATCTGACAAATGCCAAATGTCTGCCGCTTGGTGTCTATCCCGCAAGTGAGCTTAGACACGAGGAAAGTTTAAGGTGCCGCCGTGCCGATAACGACTATAAGACACCGGCGTGGCGGCACCTTAAAAGTGCCTCGTGTCTAAGCTTACTAGCGGGATAGACACCAAGCGGCAGACATTTGGCATTTGTCAGATCTACTTGCCGCCAGTACTGTCCCCGTGTACAAGCACCTTAAGGTCTGATAGCTTGGCCCCAATTCACGATTCGGTCCGACAATGGGCAGGGTGGAGAGGTCCCGGGACCCGGGCGGTTGATGTAGAGTGGATCTAGTGGATCATGGTGAAACCGGAGCTATTAGGATACTACGGATGGGAGACGGGAATAGGAAGAGGGACATCCACGAAGAAGCAGCCATTATCCGTCCCGGTACTTCATCGTTACATCACCAACCATCTTCCCAATCATCGACGAGCTTCACCCGATAAGGAAATAAAATTTCTCTCCCCCACTGCTGTCAGAGCGTTGTCATCACTGCCATTACCCTGCAATCCTTTTTTTTTTTATAATTTTCATCGGAAAGGCGGACAACAATCAGATGCTAATAAATTAAAGGGCGGACAACTATCAGATGCTAATAAATTAAAGTCAATTATAGGTTTTGGGTCAGAGGGGTTTTAACGTGATTTTCGGAACTATTTCAATTTATATGTAGGAAAATTTACTTTTAACCTAGTTCGTTTACTTTTAACCTAGTTCGTCATATTAGACACTGCGCCCGAGGGATTGAGTCCGAAAAGCGAATGCATAGACTCGAATAAAGTTCGACACGAAAGCAGCTTAAAGTAAAGAACTCCAAAATACGAACCCAACATTAAAAAATTTAAGCCTCAAATTACGAAATGACAAACAAACGCTGAAACTATTTACAATAATGAACGATAAGCTCACTAACTTGATTGATGAGCATACCAACCGAGCCTTACTCCTTCTTACGGCATTTGAACCTCACTTTCCGAGCCCTCATTCTCTTACCTGAACCACGTTTGGTAGTCGCAACAAGTTCCGCATTATCAGCACGAGAACCTAAACTCGGAACTGGCTCGTACCGTAAATTGGGATCAGAATCTGGCTTCAATGGAGGTTCGAAAAATTCGTCAATAGGAATTGGTTTCAAATGAGTGGCTTTGAGCTAACCCACGGTCAAATCCACCTTTATGTCCACCCGATGCTTGGCCATAATCCTGGCATAAACTTGGGAATTATCTTATCTACCGTCGCTGCTACAGGACGAATTCATCATTTCAACAGTTTTCCATAGGAACTAAATTCAAATTGGCTTTGAGGAGCTCCAGGCTACCACATAAGAAAATACCTGCGGGAGTGCGCGCGAAGACCGACTCACTAGGTGCGCCAAACATTACCTGGGTTTCCAGCAGGACCTCGGGATCGTTCATACCTAAAATGAACTGGGGCCATACTTTCAAAACTCGTCAAGTGAGCGTAAGTACTTACGCTCTATTGTCTTGTCTATGATTGGTTGATTTTGCTCGAAAGGCCGTCAATGATTGGCTGATGAACTTACGATCTCTTAACTTTTTTTGAAAGTATAGACCCTGGACATCACAAATATGATTCTTACCGGGTATCATCTTATCCGCCAGCATGTAAACCTCTGCGCAAAAATTAATCAGTTACGTCACTCAAGCCGGGCAATGTAAAGGACGTATTAATGCTAGGAACACAAATTTCATTGTTTATGCGTTTTGTCGCCCACCTGCGATGGGACAGAAACAACTTTGGTCACGTGCCGTTTAGATTCGTTATAACAGTTTACGATTACCGAGCAACTTTGAAGAATCGGTAATTTGAGCTTTTCTGCCAAGTAATTCAATATGAAGTGTGCTTGACTGCCTGAATTTTTCATCAAGTTCAAAGCCGCTTCACGGCCTGAATTTAAAATAAAGATGAAGGGCCGAGTTAACTGTCTATACACCAACAAATTTATTTAATGGATATATTAATTGCAATGGATATATTAATTGATTAAACGATAATAAAAGAATCGATTGCTAATTGATATGCATCTGAATTTATATAATATTTTGAAACTGATGAACTGGTGAACTGATTTTAATTGATCTAACTGACTGCCTTGCTTCCGTTTTGAAGATGATGCATGCTACGTCGTATCGGTCCCGACGTCATTCACCTTACGCGACATCGGTCCTTCATTAAACGAAAGTTTGGCGGGGTTTGCGCCACTTAAACGACTTGAGTTTATGCTTTCCCCTTGGATTTCAAGATCACGGCACGCACGACAAACTATAAAATACAATTATTCCAATGGATTAAAAGTTTTTAATTTTCCCGCCATAAATTTAGTTATATACAAACTGAATTAAACACACAATCAAAGCTAATGGTCTTGCCATACGAATATTCGATTCTGAATTGACAATAATTCAATTATTATTCGAAATTATATGTATATCTCATGATACGAAAAAAGGAACACTTATTTTCGTCCCGTAAGATTGTACTGCGGCTGCCTTCAATGCTCAAGGCAAAAATGCGACCCTTATGAGCAGACAATAAGTGATGGTCAAGCCGAATGCAGTATACGGTCATAATTACAACATCTTTATACATTATATATGGGATTTCACAAACGCTTCTCTCACAATTAGGATTGAGAGACCGATCTTAACTTCCCATTTAGTAAACGCTTCCACGGTGCTGCAATCGACCAGATTGAACGTTGCTCGATTGCTCGAGCAGACTACAATGAAAGTGACACTTGAATGAATGATGATTATGCCGACATTGTCGCAAACTGACACTGCATAGACGCAGGTCACGCTGACAGTGGCGAAGGTGACACTGCATGGACGCTGATCACGCTGACAGTGGCGAAGGTGACACTGCATGAACGCTGGTCACGCTGACAGTGATGAAGGTGACACTGCATGGACGATAGTCACGCTGACAGTGGCGAAGGTGACACTGCAAGCACGCTGGTCACGCCACCCGCAGTGATGATAACTCGAGTTTAATGATGAGGTGCACAGAGTTCAGCTTGCTGAAGGGAAAACCTAACCGCTGGCGGAGGCTGAAAGGTGCGCAATTTGGCCTTGAATACCGCGGTGAGAGCTCGTGACGTGACCGAACTGGAGAACCGTTGCGACGCTCAGTCGTTAGCTGAATATTGGCCATGTCTCACGTGGAAAATTAAAAAAAAAATTCTTTTATAATGTAGAAAATGAATCATAGATTTAAATTAGCGGAAATGCAGCGTTCACTGCACCTGACCCACCTACTGCATGGTAAAAAGCAGCGTACGCTAAAGAATGCCAGTGAAAGTGGACCAGAATGAGGGGATCTCAACACTGCAGCGCTGACCCTTGCAACTGTCAGCCGCCACACCTGCGGCGTCAAGTTTCCGCTAAAATTCTAAGAAACCAGTCAAAAAATATGATTCCAATCTTATAAGGTTTGGTTTTTAATTGCTAACTGTTATTGGAATTAAAAAACAGGAAATATCCCGATAACAATGTGAAACAATTCAGTATTCACGCATATTCAAGTTGCGTAAGAGTTTGGCAGTTCACTACCAAAGAATCCGACTGTGGAAATAAACACAGGAACAGACGCAAAAAATAAATTTACCTGACTAGATTCATAAGGTACTGCAATTAATCACATCGAATTTCAATTCAAATGATCAATTTTCTGCTGTTTCATTGCTGGGTCAAATAATAATCTTTAAAATATTTAAATCAGAAGGAATTCATAGCTGCGAATCAAAAGGTTCGCACTTGTAGCGAAACCTAATTTGTTCCTCGGTTAGAAGATAATGTTTTGGTCTCGATAAGCTCACCGTAATCGAAGCCATTCTCGGGAGACGTCGAGTTGAACTCGGCAGCGACACTCGCAATCAATAAGGCAGAAAGAAGAAGAGCCTTCATATTGATCACTGTTCAGCACTTCCAAGAATAAGATGGTTCAACTTAAGGAAACCTAGCGTAGACACGCACAACCTCCCTCGCGGACGGCCGAGCGCAAAGTGATTGTGGTTGTCGGCTGAATCTTGTCGTAGATGACAATATGGTGTCGCTTCCAAGAATTACGGAACGAACGATGATTTCACAGCCGTCGTGTACCTTGAATCTGAAAGTAAAATTGGTTGTGCAGCTATGCATTACCTGAAGGTCACCCACGCATGCAGTGTGTCAGTTTAGGTAACAATGCCGCGATCACATTTTAGTGGATATTGAAGTCGAAGTGTCGACTATCTGCTTCACTTCAAGATGTACAAGTTTCACTGTATTCACAATAGAAACAGTGCAGAAGTGCAGTGCAGTGTGGAATGTTCAATATGAATGTTGCCTATTCAATGTTTCAAAGGAATGTTGACACTCCTCTGAAACCGTGTTCGGCGCACCGAAGCTTCCTCTCCTACCATTAATGGCAGATACAAATTTCAGCATTAACATCTTACACTGAAGCTTTTTTGATGAATATGCGTAATTCATACAGAAGCGAATGAGGAAAAGCAACAATCCCGGTAACATCTTACCGGCTATTAAGGTTTAAGTAAGGACTTAACAATATTTGAGAGCATTAAATTTGGCCTTTTAGAATCAGAAAAAATGTAAAAGCCACTAGTAGGGTTAAAAATATATTCGAAGTCGCATAATTTTTTTCATATCGATACCTAAACTACTGTGGAATTTAATCAGAAGCTTTTCTGACAAGTTTGTTCTGACAATCAGATCTGCCAAGTCTGTTCTGACAATCAGATCTACCAAGTCTGTTTCGACAAGTCTGTTCTGATAAATCAGTTCCGACAATCGAAGTCTGTTCCGACAAGTCTGTTTCGGCAAGTCTGTTCCGACATGTCTGTTTCGACAAATTTGTTTCGAAGAGTCTGTGACAAGTCTGTTCCGACAAGTCTGTTTCGGCAAGTCTGTTCCGACATGTCTGTTTCGACAAGTCTGTTCCGGCAGGTTTGTTTCGACAAATTTGTTGCAACAAGTCTGTTCCGACAAGTCTGTTCCGACAAGTCTGTTTCGACAAGTCTGTTCCGACAAATATTTTTCGACAAGTTTGTTGCAACAAGTCTGTTCCGACAAGTCTGTTCCGACCAGTTTGTTTCGACAAGTCTGTTTCGACAAGTTTGTTTCGACAAGTCTGTTCCGACAAGTCTGTTTCGGCAAGTCTGTTCCGACATGTCTGTTTCGACAAGTCTGTTCCGGCAGGTTTGTATCGAAAAGTCTGTTCCGACAAATATTTTTCGACAAGTTTGTTGCAACAAGTCTGTTCCGACAAGTCTGTTTCGACAAGTCTGTTCCGACAAATATTTTTCGACAAGTTTGTTGCAACAAGTCTGGAAGTTGTTTGTTTGACAAGTCTGTTCCGACCAGTTTGTTTCGACAAGTCTGTTCCGACCAGTTTGTTTCGACAAGTCTGTTCCGACCAGTTTGTTTCGACAAGAACAAGAAGTTTGTCTTGTTTCGACAAGATATCTTGATATTAATAATATTAGATCAATTCAGATGCATATAAATTAACAACCTATTTTCTATGATCGTTTAATCAATTAATATATACATTAAATAAATTCGTTAAAAATCGCATACGACAAGTCTGTTCCGACAAGCTTGTTTCGACAAGTCTGTTCCGACAAGTCTGTTTCGACAAGTCTGTTCCGACACGTCTTTTTCGGCAAGTCTGTTCCGACAAGTCTGCTTCGACAAGCTTGTTTCGACAAGTCTGTTCCGACAAGTTTGTTTCGAAAAGTCTGTTCCGATAAGTCTGTTTCGGCAAGTCTGTTCCGGCAAGTCTATTTCAACAAGTATGTTCCAACAAGTCTGTTCCGACAAGTTCATTTTGACAAGTCTGTTCCGACTAATCTGTTCCGGCAAGTCTGTTCCGACAAGTATTTTCCGGCATTTTTCTTCCGACAAGTCTGTTCCGACAACGTTGTTCAGTGTTTGCTCTGCGTTGATTAAGAGTTCAGCTGTAGACATCTTGATGTTATTCACTGAATTTTATTCTTCCAACTCAAAGCAGCAGTTAACTGTTCAATTAAATAAAACCTCCTTCTCATCGCTTGCTTTTGACTCTACCATTGGCATGTTCTATGGTTTTCCGAAACATAAGAACTTCGTATGAAATATTAACTTTTTCAGAAGGGCAACTTCCAAGGCATGAATAAACAACCGATTTCTTCATCCTAAATGACCAATTTAACACGTTGACTACGATTGCTTCATCTTCTACTATTATTTCATTTTTTGTACTGTTTTTAAACAGGGTTGCCAGACGGTCATTTTTTCCGGACAAATTCCGTGATTTAGTTTTTCTCAATTGCGTTGGCCGGCTAAAATTCATGATAGGGGTACTTCCTAATTAAATTTTAAATACTGCAAAAAGAAAATAAATGGAATTTTTATAGCGGAACCTACAAATAAACTAGTATATATTGAGTTGTCGGCCTTTTTTGTTCTCGGATTTGGCCGATTTTAGGCAACCTGAATTATGTACCAATACGTCCCGGAGAAATACATTTCGTAGTATACGTATATGTACCACTTCGGAGTCAACGTGTTAAACAAACCAGGAAATTGTGAGAATCATGACGAAGTTAATTTGAGTATGTATTTTCAGAGACAGATATAAGTAATTTTGGGGGAAAAACCAAACCCGGTTTCTTGAGGAATCTCAACTCGCTTAACCCGCACTTGATTAAGCCTTACTTGCGCCTGCTTACCAGTTATATTGTTAACTCGTGTTGTCCCATAGCTTCTATATTTTTCTACTCTAGTAAATTTGGTATTTTATTTCTTGTGCACAACCCTTGATAATTTATACTTTAATTATGGGGTGCTTGCGTTTTTCACCTCTTCTGAACGCTCTGGCTCTACGCCAAACGTGACTGTAAGTTTTCTGAGTTAAACCTCAAATCAAAGTAGATTTTCTTTGAGAAGATAAAATTCGATAAGTGCCATTTAAACCGTACTATTTATGTCTATAAAGTATCTTTTGGAAACATAATTCGGTTAGCGGGTCACGTTTTGGCTCTTAAACTTTAAACTCGTCTTGCCTTAATTGCATAGTATTCGAGCCTACATCTATGGTGACCTTAAATTCCGAAATTGTGGCGACTTTTGAATTGTGAAACTACCGCGGTTTTCAAGTGATTGAAGTGTGGCCGCAGTTCTTTACTGTGTATTGTTTTTACTTTTGATCTCACAAGGATGTCTATATAGCCTCTGGAAGCACTCCACCGTGGATGTGCACCCTATATATTTCTGCTTAAATATGGAGAGCAGCTTTCGTGAACTTTATTTGTTACATTTACATAATTGAGCAATGTTCGACCTCAGCGGGTTAGTAATTTAATCAATTTCTCGCGCAGTAAATCTTCTTTTCGTCGGCTTCCGTCCTTCGCGCTGGCCTGGACGTTTTAATCGTTCAAATTTTCGATTTACCTACGCTAAAATATGGGACCTTCAGAGTTGAAGAACTCCGAGCAACGGTTAAATCTGATTAAATTACTTGAATCATCTTCAATTTGTTGTCACCCTGAAAGTTTAGCAATTGTTGATTTGTAGAAGAGGTTTACCTGCAGCGTATAGGGAAATTTCGAATATATAAGTTCAATTCAATCATAAAATCCTATCTTCCGATGATTAACCATTGAATCATTTAATTGGTAATATGAGGGAAGTTCAAATTGTATTTGGTAAATTTTCTCGGAAACATTACTTATTTGCTTTTTTCTATGCAAGTTTTCGGCAGTGAGCAATAAACTGTAGAACGACGGATTGACGTGCTGACGTAGTGACGGTGCCGATAATTTACCTTTTAACTCTCTACCGCCGTATGTCACTCTCCGGGAACATAACTTTCAACTTAAATTATACGTAAGCAACCTGAGGTATTGAGTAACCTATACTTGTAGTAACTTGAGGTCGTTTGTACGCAACGGAGAACATTTTAAAGTTGTACGTGGTGGCAATCATTAGTGCCAGTCATTTGCGTTCACAAGCAACGTATTATTTTTGGGTAGACTTGTGCGACAATATTGCTCCGGTTACTCATGTCAGCAGCATCTTATATTAACATAACATAGCATAACATAACATAGGGATGTTATGTAATGAAGATTTTAGATCAGAAGATCTAAAATTGGTCATATGACCGGATCTTTTCAAGACTAACAATCATGCCACTTGCTACCGCTTCATAACATAACACTTAACACTTACGAATAGAGTTTCACATGCAAATTTGCATGTGAAGCTGCAAATTTTCAGCTGAAAAACATAGATCTATAGTTGTATAGTTCATTAGTTCTATAGTTGTAGTTGAGTAACCTATACCTGTAGTAACCATGGGCCTATTTCTTCAACGCCGACACTTCTATTCTAGTTTGCTTTGTCCTATGATGCGAATTGAGCAAATATGGAGTGCAATGAAAATTAGGAAGGGTTACCCTCGAGTTGCGAGTAGTAGAAAACATTAAAATACAAAAAATGGGAAGTTCGTTGCGCTTCCTGATGTATATTGCTGATGCCAGAAAAATTAAATTATTTTTCCATACAATATAAAAATTAATCGAGATTTAAAGTTCAGGCTTTGCATCTGGTGCTGAATATAGCAAATTTATTTAATTTATAATATTTACACAGCTATATCTCTGTTGAATAAAGTTTCACCTGAAAAACCTTTATAGAATATCTCTTACTTGATTGAATATGGCAAAGTAAAAATTTGCATATTGAATTTTTCATCCTGATTCGTGATTTTTAACGATCTCTATGAGACAAAAACGGTGTCATATATAAGTAGAACTAAAAATTTCTTAGAAGAAATACCATCTGAAAAATACCCTGCATAGCGCACGCTTAAGTCGCCTCAAAAAATGACGCTGAAAAAGAACATTTTACTTTTAGTATGATTTCATAAAGTTTTACGTTTTTAAAATGATTCAAATAGAAAATAAATATCCGTTTTGGCCCATTATATATACTTTTATTACAATCTGTGGAAGAAGTGTTCAAGTGACTGTACGAGCGTTG